GTGCAGCATTTACCACGGGAAGTCACAAGCTGAGGATGAGGAGTGGTCCCAAAACCATCAGTCAGGCACAGGTGATGCAGAGGAAGATCAGCAGTGGGAGGGATTCCTGGGCATGGCTCTTGGGAGACACTCAGGCACCAGGCTGGAAGGTGCAGGGATATTTTACAGCCCTGGGGATGAATCAGCTTTTAGGAGAATTTACCTGGGATTTATCCAAATTCTCCATCACAAGGATTCAAGTGTTCATCTAACAACTCCCTTTGGCTCCAAGTGATGTTTTAGTATGCTCTAGAACCCACCAGCCCTTCCAGAAGGACACAAAATTCAAGGACACTCCTGACACTGGGGACAACCAACCAGAAAATGATTTGGGGCACGTTGCTTCCCGTGTGGGCCAAAGCAAGAGTCACACTCGGTGGAGGTCACTCCTGGCAGCTGGAAACATCAGAAGGACAGAGAAAAAGGCTAAAAGATAAACGACAGCACGGGAATTAATGTCAGCAGGAAAGCAGTGGCTGACACAGGCCTAGCCAGAGAACCAGCAGAGGGCTGATTTCAGGAACTGGAGGCAGGGAAATGAGAAGGGAATTTGTAGCTGTAGGGCCTCAAAACCTCAGCTTGACTTGCCAAGGAGGAGGCACCTCAATCCAGCTTCGTGCCTCTTATCTCAGCGTAGCTATCCCTTACAGCCCAGGATTTATTCCAGATGCTGCCAGAAGAAGCTGACAAGAGTCACACTCGGTGGAGGTCACTCCTGGCAGCTGGAAACATCAGAAGGACAGAGAAAAAGGCTAAAAGATAAACGACAGCACGGGAATTAATGTCAGCAGGAAAGCAGTGGCTGACACAGGCCTAGCCAGAGAACCAGCAGAGGGCTGATTTCAGGAACTGGAGGCAGGGAAATGAGAAGGGAATTTGTAGCTGTAGGGCCTCAAAACCTCAGCTTGACTTGCCAAGGAGGAGGCACCTCAATCCAGCTTCGTGCCTCTTATCTCAGCGTAGCTATCCCTTACAGCCCAGGATTTATTCCAGATGCTGCCAGGAGAAGCTGAGGATGCCCTGGAAGCGTTCCAGGCCAGGATGGATGGGGCTTGGAGTGACCTGCACTATGGAAGCTGTCCCTGCCCATGGCAGGGGGGGATAGAGATTATTTTTAAGGTCCCTTCCAACCCAAACTATTCCAGGATTCTATTCTATGATTTTGTAACCTTTGGGGATGAAGGACCAGGATGGATGGTTGTGAGAGAGTTGAGTCTTGGTCCCTGGCTTCATCCCATGTGGTCTTGGCTATCAGAGAAGGGACATGGACAAGGAATGGAGGGACAGGATGAGAGGGAATGGCTTCCCACTGCCAGAGGACAGGGATGGATGGGAGATTGGGAAGGAATTCTTGGCTGGGAGGGTGGGCAGGCCCTGACACAGGGTGCCCAGAGAAGCTGTGGCTGTCCCTGGATCCCTGGAAGTGCCCAAGGCCAGGCTGGACAGGGCTTGGAGCGACCAAATCACAATCACAACCTAGAAAGACTAAACCTCCCCATCTCCTGTGCCACTTCAGGATCCTCATCACAAATATCCTTCATCCTTTCATGATGGGAATACTGGATTAACTCCATGCATGGCCCAGGTGATGGCACATTTCTAGGACACGACAGCATCATTGCTCTGCCTTTACATCCAGAAAAACAGAAGAAATCCACGTCATGTGGATGTTTCTGAAATGACAAAATCAGGGAAGAGCGAATGTGGCCAGGAATAAACAAGGAAGCAGAGTTACCCAGCATGTTTCCTTTGCCAGAAGTGTGACCTTGTCCCTGCTGGGAAATGGTCATTTGTGAAAAGGGAGCCTTGGCTGCGTCCAGAAGACGCCTGGAGGCGGAAGGGGATGAAGAGGTGGGGGATTGGAGTGAGATGGTCTTTAAGGTCTCTTCCAACCCAACTATTCTGTGATTCCACGACTTTTGAAGTAAAGAGCTTGCAAACTCCACATGAACAATGGTACCAGTGGCAATGGTTTGGAAGGGAGAATATGGGCTGGGAAGTGTTGAAGACACAAAAAAATGGAGGGAATAACAAGCATCTGCCTTTCTCCTTTTTGGTTGTTTTTTTGGGGGGGATTTTTTTGGTTTTTTTTTTCCTGAGACTTCATCCTTTTTAAGAAAGAAGCTGCAGACAGGGAATATCAAGACCCAGGTGAAGCAGAGAGGTGACAGGATCCTGCTCACCACCAGGTCAGAGCATGTCGTGCTTGGACCATCTGAGGAAACAGAGCCCTTTTTTTTACACAGAGATTTGGGGAATTTCTGTCTCTGTGTATGGAGACAGGCCAGGCACTCAGTCCTGTTGCTTTCCCAGCTCCAGCCACCCAGCTAAGGCACTGAGCAGCAGAGTTCCATGGCTGGTGACCCTGGGAAGAGCCAGTCTGACCGGCTTGCCCAGAGCAGCCAGGCAGCAACGCCAGCTGCCTTCAACAACTGCCCATAACACTTTAAAAACCAAAACACAGGTCACAGGCTAAAAAAAAAGTGACAAAACAAACTGGGGACAGGGAAATTGTCACTCAGCTTCACCTCTGTTTCCCCAAGGATGCCCATGGAGCCATTTCACTGGGACAGTATCCTGGTTTCCACGAAGAAGGAGCGGATGGGTTGGGAGTTGCGGCGCGGGCAGGTCTGGTAGGTATCATCCCAGCCCCGATGGAAGCGGCCATGCATTTCGGCACCTTATTTGGCATTGCTGCTCCTAGGGAGCGAGGACTTGTTGCAAACAGTGGGAAGAGCCCTGGGGATGCTTGGCTGGCTCTGACGCAAGAGCTGCGCCGGTGCATTTTTGACCTTGCTTCGCCTCTCCGCCGAGCGCTGCAGCTCAGGGAGCTGCTCCGCAGAGGGAAGGAGCCCCCGGGATGGAGAGGGCAGGGAGAGGGGCTTCTCAGGGAAAGGGAAACTCTGCCAGTGGGTTTAGGAGCAGAAGGAGCCGGCAGCCTTTCCTCAGCGTGGAAAAGGTTACCAGCTCCGCGGGGCCGTATCCAATTGCATCAGCTGGGAACGTCGTCCAACACGCCGGGCCGAGAGTAACCCTTTCTATTTATTGCCCTATTGTTTGGGGCTGGAGGAACACGGAGATACCATCTGGGAAAGCTTTGTTGTCACAGACCGGCTCTCGCCTGCGCTCCAGAGTCACCCTCTAAATCACGCTCCGGCTTCCACATTTTGGGGGATGGAATGGGGGTTCCTCCGAGCCGGGATTGGGGCCCCGGGAGGGTTTGAGGGGGGAGGTCACCTGCTGCAGTGTCGCCCAATTTCCCTCCGGCAGCACCAGCCACGTTAGCAAAAATCCTTGGGTAAAACCTGGCTAAGTGTGCCCAGAGTGACCTCAGGAAAGGTTTTATTAGTATTAAAGGTATTAAAGGTATATTAGGTACTAAAGCAGAGGAGCAGCCTTTAGAAATGTCTCCATTCTAGTATAAATATCTCCATTACAATGGCAAAGTGAAAATCAGAAAAATTTTACTATCCTGTTAAGAGGTTTTATTGCCTGAGGGGTGCCAAAGCAACCTGGTCTAGTGGAAGCTGTTCCTGCCCATGGCAGGGGGCTGGAACCAGACAGTCTCATGGTCCTTTCCAACCCAAACCATGCCATGATTCCTGAAGCTCCCACTGCCATTCACCAGGAACGTGGGAATGGTGTTCCTGGCTGGCAGAGCCATCCCCGAGGCTGCCAGGGCGGGCACAGCTTTGCTGGGATGTGCCTTCCCATCACCTGGCATGGAGCAGGATACATCCAGAGCGCTGGACCTCAAACCACAGCCCCTTCCGCGTGTTGGATTTTCAGGAAGCGCGGTTGCTCGGCGGGATGTGTGTATCACTGGGTGGAGGAGCTACAGGAAGCGGATAATATTTTTTTTTCCTCCATTTGTGCCGGTTCAGACCCTTTTATTTAAAGACAGTTCCCATTTCCCACATTCACACAGATTATGAGGATGGAGGGAACCAGCCCATCTCCCAGCCTCAACGGGGGCACGGGCTACTATGCCAAGGTAGGGTTTTGCCGAACGGGAATGATTTTTCCTATGAATTTGGGAGCAGTGCTAAAAAACACCCCAAAGGGTGCAGAGTGGGCACGGCTGCCGTGGGACCCAGGCGTGTTTGGGATGCCGAGGTTCTGCCAGCCCTAATGGATGCTCTCCGGGCTGGTTCCCGAATTTACCCCTCTGGATGCCCTGGGACCAGCGGCCACGAGCCGAGGCAGGCAGGGCTGAGCAAAGCTGGGCCGGGATGAGATAAACTGGGATGAGCTGAGCCGGGATGAGGCAGGCCGGGATGGGCAGTGCCAAGCCGGGATAAACCGAGCTGGGACAAACTGGGCTGAGCCGGGATGGGCAGAGCCCAGCCGGGATGAGCCGAACCGGGATGAGCCAGGCACAGATGAGCCAGGCTGAGCCGAGCTGTGTTGATCCGGGCCGAGCCGGGATGGGCAGAGCCAAGCCGGGATAAACCGAGCTGGGATACACTGGGCCGAGCCGGGATGAGCCGAACCGGGATGAGCCAGGCAGAGCTGAGCCAGGCTGAGCCGAGCTGTGTTGAGCCGGGCCGAGCCGGGGTGGACAGAGCCAAGCCGGGATAAACCGAGCTGGGATACACTGGGCCGAGCCGGGATGGGCAGAGACCAGCCGGGATGAGCCGAACCGGGATGAGCCAGGCTGAGCCGAGCTGTGTTGATCCGGGCCGAGCCGGGATGGGCAGAGCCAAGCCGGGATAAACCGAGCTGGGATAAACTGGGCACAGCCGAGCCGCGCTGGGCCGGGCCGAACCGGGACGATCCCAAGCCGGGCCGGACCGATCCCGGCCGGGCCGCCCCCCGGCGATTCCCGGATGTTGGAGCGGCCCCCACTTGCTCCGTCCTTCGCTTCCATAAAAGGCCAAGGGGCCCGGCAGCCACAGGCGCGTTTTTCCTTTAATTATTATCCCCCTCCTCCTCCTCCTCCTCCCTCTCTTCCCTCCCTCCCTCCGCCTCCCGCTCTGCCCGCCCGCGCTGCTCCTCCCGCGGCGGCCCCTCAGGAGCGGCGGCGGTGGCGGCGGGCAGCGCAGCGGCCCCGATCCCGCCCCACCGCGCCCCCAGCCCTGCCCCGGGGCGCGGAGCGGGCACAGCCGGGCCCATCCCGCTGCCGCTGCTGATCCCGCTCCCGCTCCGTGCCGGGCGCGGCCGGCGGCGCAGGAGGCCGGGGCCATGGCGCTGGACGGGATCCGCATGCCGGACGGCTGCTACGCCGACGGGACGTGGGAGCTGAGCGTCCATGTCACCGACCTGGGCCGCGACGTCACCCTGCGGGTCACCGGCGAGATCCACATCGGCGGCGTCATGCTGCGCCTCGTCGAGAAGCTCGGTGAGTGCCCCGGGACCCCTGGAGCAGCCCGGCATCCTCCCAGTGCTCAGCACCCTGCTCCAGTGCTGTGCTTTAACTCCCAGCGCCGTGCGAGTGCAGTGCTGGAATACCCCAGTTTAGCCCCCAGCACTCTGCTCCAGGGTTGTGCTCCAGCTCCCAGCACTCTGCTCCAGTGTTTGCTCCAGCTCCCAGCCCCTGCCCAGTGCAGTGCCTGAGTACCCCAGTTTAGCCCCCAGCACTATGCTCCAGTACTTGCTTCGTCTCGCAGCACCCTGACCCAGTAGCCTGACCCAGTACCCTGCTTTAGCTCCCAGCACCCTGCTCCAGTACAGTGCTCCAGCACCCTGCTCCAGGACTGTACTTCTGTCTCCCAGTCCTGGGCTGTAGCTCCCAGCATCCTGCCCCAGTGCAGTGCCTGAGCACCCAGTGCTGTGCTCCAGCACCCAGCACCCTGCTCCAGCATTGCGATTTAGCTCCCAGCACCCTATCCCAGTATTGTGCTCCAGAGAGGCTCCCAGCACCCTGCCCCGGGTCCCAGCATCCTGCCCCAGTACTGTGTTTTACTCTCTCCCAGTACTCTGCCTTAGCTCCCAGCAGCAGGGAGCCCCCCAGGTCCCCACACCCTGCCCTTTCCAGGTTCCCCCTCTCATCTCCTCCACCAGCCAGCCTTTACCACCCCGGAGCCTCAGCCCCATCCACCGGCTGCTGCACTCCCGGGATTTTACACAGAGTTAGGAAACAGCTCCGTTTCTTGGGGGTGGGGTTTTTTTTTGGGGGGGGGCGCTCCACAATTCACACCAAAACTCCACCCTGAAGCTCCGATCTAACAAAGCGCTGCCCCGTGGGGCGATCAGTGGGGTGCTGTGGGCGAGGGCACCTCGGGGAGCCGGCGGTGGCTGTGGGAGCACACCTGGACAAAGGGCCCGTTTGTCCGGGACGCGTGGGAACGCGGCCGGGCCTCGGGCCCCGCCGAAAGCGGGGAGCCCGGCCTCGCCGAACCTCCTCCCCCCCTTGTCTTTTTATCGGCTCTTTATGGCTGGGTTATGTTTACTCAGCGGTGCAGCCCGGGCTGATGGCTGTAATTGCTCAAATAAAATATTAATTGCGAGGCCCCGCGCGTGCCTGCGGCTGTGGGAGTAGCGGAGCTGTCAGCTGCAGGTCCCGCTCCGCTGCGGAGCCCGCGTGTGGCTTTAAAAAGCCCATCTCTTCCCCCGTGCTTAGGTTTTGATTTATTAATTATCTCGGAGTCGCAGGAAGGAAGAGATGGATATAAATACGCTGGGTTTCCAGAGGAAGCGAGCGCTCGCATCAAAGGGTCTCGTGCTGGAGGTAGCTTGAACTCCCCGAAAACTTAATTTTATTCTGTTTAGTTTGGTTTTTTTTCTTTTTACTTTAACGCTGGAGGTGCAGAAAGTTTTGCTGAAGTTCAGTGAGGGGAAAAAAAAGCAAACCAGCTTTCTAAAAGTGATGAATCCCCCCGTGAGTGAAGGAGCGATGCTGCGTGTCGGGAGATGCCGGAGCAGCTCCAGGAGCAGCTCCAGGGAGAAGAAGCGTGTGTGGAAAGCCAGGCATGTGCGCGGGGCCGGAGCCCGGCAGGACCTAAATTAGCTCCTGACGTAATCCATCCCCCCTGAAATGTTTGCCCGGATCCTCTCCACTTGTTAAATTAGGGATTGTATGAGAGGGAAGGAATGCGGCGGCCGCAGCGGCGTGGGGAGAGGGGCTGGAGCTCCCCGGGGCTTCAGCCCCAGTGCCTCCCTTCCCGGCATGGTCACATCCATGGATATCTCCGCTGCTGCCTTCCCTTTCCCCTTGGCTTTCGTTGCCTAGCCAAGCTATACGTATTTAGTTCCTTGTAATCTTCCTGCGTGTCAGCTCTTCCAGCCCTCTCATTATTTTTACGGCTCTTCTTTGAGCTGCTGCCAGTTGAGCGGGGTCGGGTGGGACGGGGCTCGTTCCTCATCCTCCCCTGCTCCTCAATGCCTCCCTTCATCCAGCCTCTGCATCGATTCATTTTGCAATTTTTCCACATCAAAACCCTTTCCCTGCATTTTTAACCTTTTCCTCCCTGTCGTTCCTCTGTTTAATTCCTTACTTCGACAACTTGCAGCGTGAAAAAAAAATTGTTCTTCTCCGGCCAAGCGGATTTTCTGCTGTGAGTTTTAAGGAAATTTCCTAAAAATGAAGTTTCCTTGCAGTTCTGTCTTTCCCTGTGGGATCCCCCATGGGCTGTTCACACTGCGGGGGGAGGAAGGAAGGTGGCTCAGTGCCTTAGGCTGGGCTTTGCCTGCTCCATCCTTTGGGACAAATCCTGCAGGCTTTGGAAAGGAGATTTCTGTGGCCTTCCTGGAGTTCCACTGAAGTTTAGGACATCAGTGAGAATCTGCAGCAGATGAGCCACACTGTGGTTTTGGGGTGCTGGTAGGAGCTCTTCACCATCAGTGAACAGAGAGGAAAAATGCCTTCCCTTCCTCCCAGCAGCAAGGAAAGCTTGGAAAAGGGGAAAAAAAAATCTTGATTTACATCAGCATTTGTTGATGCTTGTGAGTTTTAAGGAAATTTCCTAAAAATGAAGTTTCCTTGCAGTTCTGTCTTTCCCTGTGGGATCCCCCATGGGCTGTTCACACTGCGGGGGGAGGAAGGAAGGTGGCTCAGTGCCTTAGGCTGGGCTTTGCCTGCTCCATCCTTTGGGACAAATCCTGCAGGCTTTGGAAAGGAGATTTCTGTGGCCTTCCTGGAGTTCCACTGAAGTTTAGGACATCAGTGAGAATCTGCAGCAGATGAGCCACACTGTGGTTTTGGGGTGCTGGTAGGAGCTCTTCACCATCAGTGAACAGAGAGGAAAAATGCCTTCCCTTCCTCCCAGCAGCAAGGAAAGCTTGGAAAAGGGGAAAAAAAAATCTTGATTTACATCAGCATTTGATGTAAATCAAATAGGAGGAAGAGTGCAGTAAATATCCTGTTGGGATGAAGCAGGAGTCCAGCAAAGTTTTTCCTCCTTAAATTCAGGGCTGCAGATATCCATAAATCCCATGGACTCCGTTCCTGCCTGCGCAGAGCTGCAGTTGGACTCTTTGGGAACAGGCAATTAAAATCTGTGGCTGATGCAGGCAGAGATTGGAGGAAGCCCAAGCAGCAGATAGAGATTCTGGTAACTCAAGTGAATTGCAATGACCTGTTGGCTCCCCTGTTATTCATCACCCGCTGGATTAAGCCACTCCATTAATTGAGCCGTGCCAAGTTCTTGGCAAAGTCATCCCTGAAAAATAAGCAAAAAACTGCTGAGGTTTTAAGAGCAGCAGCATTTAGTTGCTCTGTAAGGGCTGGGGTCTGTACTGGAAACTCCTGGTGCTCTCTCAGGGTTTTTTAGGAATTTTGCCACTATTGACTTACAAACAAAAAAAAATAAAAAATAAAGCAAGGTTTAAAATCACTGTTCAGGGTTTTTTAGGAATTTTGCCACTATTGACTTACAAACAAAAAAAAAAAAATAAAGCGAGGTTTAAAATCACTGGGAGCAGAGGAAGGAAGGAAGTGAACGCAGGTTATTGTTGTTGTCAACTTGAGGCTGTTTTAAACACATGGAATTTTAAAACCCTGCTTTTTTTTAAAACATGCTTGGGAGGAGCTCTGTGGAGTTTGTGGAATTCTGTGGGATATATGGGGGATGCTCTGTCTGGTCATGGGAATAAAGGAATAGCTGACAGAAACAGGGCAGGGGGGACAAATGGTGTCTGGCAGAGGCACAGCCTAAGACAGATGACCTAAATGTGCACTGAGCAGATTCAGAAAGTCGTGGATAGAAGTTTTGTGATGGAAATGTGGATTTCTCTCTGGGATTTCTCTCTGGGATGTGGGTGGCAGGTGACTCCAGCTCCCAGGGTTTGCTGGGAGCACTGAGCACCCTTTTGGGCTTTTACCTGGGGAAAATAAGTGAGTGGCTGGGGAAAAAAAAAAAAAAAAAAAAAAAAAAAAAATTTGGGAATTAAAAAGCTGACAGAAACAGGGCAGGGGGGACAAATGGTGTCTGGCAGAGGCACAGCCTAAGACAGATGACCTAAATGTGCACTGAGCAGATTCAGAAAGTCGTGGATAGAAGTTTTGTGATGGAAATGTGGATTTCTCTCTGGGATTCTTTCTCTGGGATTTCTCTCTGGGATGTGGGTGGCAGGTGACTCCAGCTCCCAGGGTTTGCTGGGAGCACTGAGCACCCTTTTGGGCTTTTACCTGGGGAAATAAGTAAGTGGCTGGAAAAAAAAAACAACCCCAGCAAGATTTGGAATTATAGATGTCCTTCTGGACCAAAAGGGGTTAAGGATGGGTAACGTGGTGGAATCCCTGTTTTAGTGACCTGGGATGGGCAGGAGAGCTGACATGGATAAATGTCAGAGCAAACCCTCTGCCCCCAGCCAGGCTGGCAATGGCAGGCAGTGATGACATCTCCTGAAGCCTTGGGGTCTTTTTTTGTGAATTGAAGCTGGGATAAGGGTTTGTTGATTTAACCTCCATTGTTCCCTCTGGCAGCTCCTCCACTATCTCCTGTGTGTCACCTGGGAGAGGGTGGGATGTCACCTGAGGACTGGCACAGGAGTTGCCCCATGCAGTTTTGGCTGTAGCACTTCAAGCTCTTTTTTGAAGTGGTTTCAGCCTGCAGATGTGTCTGTGATTCACCCCAGGGGCTCTCTTCACCATTAAATAGACTTTGCTGTGTTATCTTCCAAGGATTTCGGCTCCACTCCTTGCAAGATCAATTCTAAATATTAGTGTTATTCTGCCTGTGAAGTCTCCTCTCCTTAATGGACCCCTGAAAGGTTTATGAATAAAACACCAGCAAAGTGCAGCATCATTGATTTGCCCAGGTTTGTGTTTGAGGTTTTGCAGTGCTTATAAACACTCCAGGCCCTGGTGAGACTGGCTGGGGGAATTTTTTGCCTTGCAACTGGAATGAACTCTTAGAAACAGCTTAAGGCTATGGGAGAGAAATGCAGAGTCCTTGTCCC